GCTAGAACTATGAGGTGAGTGAAAGCCCCCCCCCCCCCCCCCCCCCCTCATAGTTCTCAATGCAGACGCCACATCTAAGGACCAATGAGCTGCAGTATTGGGTTTAGTTTAATGTTGCCCTTGCACCCTCTGACCAGAATCTAATAAAATCCCCATTGATGTGTCCTTCTATATAGAGGTGCACCGAAATAACAGGAAGTGATGTAGGTGTGATGTTGATCACTTCCCATTCATTCATAATTGAGGATATAGTAACCATACTCTGTCCTCAATCATTTACAAACACTCAGTGATCACTGATCACTGCTTGTACCTGCTCTCATCTCTGACACGCTGTCACGAGGCTGAGCAAACTGTGCGGAGAGGAGAGCTCCGCCCCTTGTGACAGCACTGGCTGTCTCCGCCCACACACCGCTCTGCCGGACTGTGACAGGAGGATGAGCGGTGTGGGAGGAGAGACGCCGGCCGCTCACAGTGCTCTCCTCCCGCAGCGCTCGGCCGGCTGTAACACTTTTTCTACTCCCCGCTGGGACACAGAGCAGCGCCCAGCGGGGAGGAAAGAAACCTGGGATGCGCCGCTGCATCGGCACAAAAATGGCACTTTCGGCCAGCATGTTTCGGCGGCCGATATATCGGTGCATCCCTAGTTATATATCATGGAAAAAACATACTGGACCAAGAAATCCGGCATAATTTTGTCCTTTTTTAAAATTCTGTTGCTTTTTCTAGGTTTGGGAACCGGTGCGCCCATAATAGAGTCCCCGTATGGTGATCCGGTGTCCCCGGAGGACGCCCCGGAGTCTATAAGCCGGGCTGTTGCTAGTTTGCCCCCTGAGCAGATGTTTGAACTGATGAAACAGATGAAGGTGAGGAAGCAGCTGTGAGAGTATTTTTAGCAGAGGTTTGGTGCAGCTGCAGAGTTTGTCAGAGGTTTCAGGACCAGCTACGTCAACCACTTCCTGTGTATACTGCCGGTCTTTAAATGGGACGGGTGGCTCGTGTGAATTGTTAGTTGTGGGCGAGGGTCGGCTTGGTCATCAACTTTTCACAGCAAGGTAGATGAGACGACTCGGAGTTACAGAATACAATGGTGTCCTCTCTTCACTTCCAACCTGCTGAATGGACGGTGAAAGAGCAGCAGGAGACCGGTGAGCTCATCTCTCTGCTCACTATGATGTCTCTTAGCATCTTCCTGGTCAACACATTGTATGCAAGTCCCGCTGTAGCGATGTCGGGATTGGTGGATCTAACCACTGGGCGCAGCATAGGAACCAGGTTATTTATTTTACATAACCCAGCTATTAGCTAGGGCTGGGCCAGGGATCGGATGGGTGGAGAGGCAGAGAGGTGGAGGGCTAGGGAATGGCAGGGAGAATCTGAGGGGATGGGGGAGAGAGGTGGGCGACTAG